TGAGTATTCTGCTTTACTCCGACTGCCCGGAGGAAAGTTTCCCTGTTTATTGAGCTCCTGCATCTTGTTAAAGACTATTCCCTTTCATTTCTGTTGTCTCCTCCAGTGGCCGTGCCAGCTTGTTCAGAACGGCATTGCTATTCAGTTGGAGCTGCATAATCTTCAGAGAATAGTGTTTCCTCTAACTTTGTAGCAGCCTCCTGCTCCAGCCCTCTGCCTCTGTTGATGAATTTGATCTATTTAATTTTAACCACTGGGAGAACAAAGGCGTGTTTCTTTTAAAATAAATTCTTTTATTCTTTGTCCTTTGAGGGATTCTGTATCGTGGTCTGACACCAGATTTCATACAGACTTTTTTAAAACGGTGGGCTGACCGGCGCTCACGTGCTGCAGCTCTCTGACGCTCTGTGACTGAGTCGATCAGAAATGATTTCTGTCCTGTGTTATGACGACTAGTGGAGTGAGGAGCAGACACATGCGGCTCTGTTGTCTTAATCAATAGCTGCGTGGCCTCTCTTTGTTGCCTTTATGTTGAGCAGAGGTCAGTTGTCACAGTGTCCTGTGATTATATTCAATGTTCAACTCACTAAACCCCATGACCACAGATGTAAAAGATCCTGTCGAAGAACAACATGCTCTTTGTAATCACAGATAATGTGACTTTTTGATAATAGTGCAGCATATAAACCAGCGTTTCTCAAAGACTGGGTTGAAGCCCATCGATGTTTAAAAGAGATTATTTCGCCAAACGTGTCTATTTCCTGTTTTAGTTAAAAGAGATTATTTAAGAGTCGCCAAACGTGTCTATTTCCTGTTTTACCTGAGAGTTATAAAACCATATAATCCTAAAATACATTTCAAAGTGAAACATTTCTTCAAAAGCCGAGTCTTTATATTGAAGAACATTAACGTAGAAAGGGGAGAAGTGATTTTATACATTTATTTTTATCTCCAGTCAGCCTTTCATATTAATCTCTAGCCACAGTGTTCAGAAAATGTTTAATTTAGGAAGCAGTCTTTTCAGTTTTGTTTTATCTTTTTCTTTTCAAAGACTCATTAATCACAAATGTACTGGGAGAATGTGTTGTCATTGTTAAGAAATAACTTATGTGCAACACAAAATCCCATTTTAAAGAGATATTTTGGCTTTTGTGTTTTGAAAATAAAACTGTGGTAACGAATACATTTAGAAAGAAAGTATTAATGTGTTTTGATCATCATAAAATAATGAGAAGTATAATGGCTGAGATGACTATGGGAATCTTATTATATTACAGTGATGTGTAGTCATGAAAATGATAATCAATATTTACATTTTTTTTCTCTCTTTTTATTCAGCATTATTGCTTCATCCGACGCCCGATTTATCACCTGCATTATTACTGTTATAAAGGCCTATATTTCATAAATGCAAAATGTTAGATCAAAAAATCAATAACAACAATATCCACTCATTTGGTGAGATATGTGAGTCTGGGTGTGAAATAAATGTAAAAACTAATGAAGCTTGTAAAGAGCCCACAGTCAGAGTAAGGAGTCATTGATGAAAAAATAATCTCGTAGGTGAAGGGAAATGGAATAGAATAGAATAAGTAACGGTATGACATCACAAACATATATATATGTACATATATATTTTACTGGTACTCTTTATAACACCTGTCTTGAGGTGTCAAATAAACCCACAGAATTGCCACCTGATATTTAAATTCCTACTAGTCACTAAAAAGAAACATTAACTAGTCTTGTTATGTTTCGTTTTTTTAAAATTCATGTGAGTTACACAGCATACATTTGAAATGTGGAGAGAACTTAGTCACAACACATGACATGATTCAATAGAGTCTCACAACATGGCCCCTACAGTACGTGTGGAGCCGCGGCTCCTCCTTTCACATCCATCCAGAGGGGAGTTATTTCAGGTGAGTTTATTTGACAAGCCCTCTCTGCTGCAGCTCAGGACAGGCTGATGCTGAATGATTATCGGATTTATTAGATTAAAGCATAAGAGCGGCTGTTGAGAAGATGATAGTGTCATAAAGTGGGGAGGACCTGAGGTGAGATATGAAGCCTGTGTCACACAATGTGGACAATAGCTGTGATATTAATAATGGAGATGACAGTGACGGGACTGAAATGGACTGACGGGGACACTGGCCTGTGCACTTGACTGATTACTTTCTCTAAAAAAAAAGAAAAAGAAAGAGAATATGGCAACACATGAACAAAGAACATTCCTGAAACTCTTTTGTGACGAGGTTTTTGCTTCTCTCTGGATCTCTTGGTCTATGAACACAGTGTCTAATGTTGTTGCTTTGTTGTAATCTTTACAGCTACAGGAAGCACAGAGCAACCAGAATGTCTAAAGACTCTAAAAATAAAACAATAATTGACTTTGCCGAGGTGAATTCTCAGCTTTGGCAAACATTCATGAAGAATGATGATCATGATGTTCTTTTTAAATAGACTTTTGCACAAACACAGTTCTTCAAACTGCTTTATTTTTTTCCCAGCGCTTCGGGGACTCCTTGTTGTTGTTGGCCTGCACTTCCACTAAATGTTCACTGTTGATTTTGGAAACAGTAGTTGACAAATCTGCTTTACTTTTGGGTTCATTAAGCGGCTGCACCAAAGAAATATGTTTTTTTTAACTACTTTTCTAGACGAAAGCTTCATTAACTTAAGACATCGTTACAGTATCAAGCTGCTGCAACATCATAATAATGTAAAGAACAACTCCATCTTTATAAGATCTTACCCTGAAACATTGACTTACAAAACAATATATGTAAAGTATGTATATGTAAAGTATATTTCACAACTAGCACTAGAATATATAGGCAACAACGAATCATAATTGAATATTGGAAAAATGTCAACGCAGAAAGTTAAAGTTCTTCAGTTAAGGAAACACCTTCAAATCAGATTTGGAGAAACT